AAAAAAAAAAAAAAACAAGTGGCAGGTGATACTGTGTAAAAGATATTTTCTATGTAGACGTGTTTGGATATGCACAGAAAATATCTGAAAAGAGTTTGTTAAATAAAAATAGTTACATTTGCAAAGAGGGTGGGAATGCCTAGGGGAGGGATACCTTTTCCCAACTCTGTTGTACTGATTTATACAGCAATCATATGTCACTTTTGTACGTGGGGATGGGTTGTAAAAATGTTACAGATTCTAAACTTAGAACCACTGAATTGGAATGTGTCTGGAAAGCAGGGCCCAATAAATCCATATTTTAACAAGTCACCAAGTGTGACTCCCAGGCAGCTGGGTTAGTTAGCCACTGCTCTAGGTGAGACGTGGGCCAGGTGGCATTTTGGGGAAGCAGAAGATCTCAGTGACAGGTATCTTATGTCCTAGGAAATAAGCTTGCCCCCATAATTAACCATGTATTCAATGACAGAGAGATATACTCACCTGAAAGATACAGAGTGGCCACCAAAGCCAGTAGGACTGGCCAGGAATAGACATTAACATCCCTAAGGAATCAATGTTTGGCCCTAAATGAAACAAGCAATGCCCAGGCAAAAGAATGCTCTGGTCTGAGGACTGAGCCAGTCTTTTCTTCCTTGTGCCAGGAATATTCACAACCAAGATCTCAAGCAAAACAGGACTCAGGTCTCTTCTGAAATGCCCAGAACAGAGCCTGGCACTTAATAAGCACTCAATAAAGAGGTACTGAATGGACAAGTCAATCTATTTTAGTATGAAGCACTTCTAACTCCAGTGCTCTGATCCAATGCTCAATAAGCAAACTGTTCCTACACAGGAAAGGAGTTTTGACAGCTGTGGGTTTCGTCTCAAATAAATAACTGGCACGTGGCCTTGAGCATCAGTCTACTGCCATTTGGTTCATACGAGCCTGCTCTGAGAGACATCTAACCACTGATGGGTACCCGAGCAACACTCTGGTGAAGTCACTAAGGTGGTGAGTGCTGCCATGCCCTGCGGCCCTCATGGGGAGTCTCCTCCTGGGTGACTACTGGCCAGCCGGCCTTCCTCAGGCAGCTCCTGTTAGCTCAGTGCTCAGGCTCGCCAAGTGCACAGCTAGACTACCTACAACAGAGGGTAACAGAGCCCAATACAGAGGCTACTAGCCATATGCAGCTACTGAGCACCTGAAATGTGGCTAGTCTGAAGTGAAATGTTCAGTAAACATAAAATACACACTAAACTGTAAAGGCTTAGTATAAGAAAAAGAATATAAAACAGCTCACTATATATACTGGGGTGCCTCAGTCAGTTAAGCCTCTAACTCTTGATTTGGGCTCAGGTCATGATCTCATGGTTCATGAGATCGATCCCCACAGCAGACTCTGTGGTGAGACTGCACAGCCTGCTTGGGATTCTCTCTCCTTCTCTCGCTGCCCCTCCCCACCTCAAATAAAGAAATTA